TATATATCCTGCACAAGCACAGTTCATTTCAGGAATGTGCTTTTTCTGCCAGAGCGAACAGCTGCTGCACACCTTTACGGCCTTATAGGCTTTGGACAGAAGTTTGCCTTTGACATTCAGGTACAAAAACACCGGCAACCCAAGAACATTATGAGACTGATATGTTCAAAGTTGAATCACTATATCAAGGCCAGGTTCCAGGTCTTTTGAACATTCAAGTGGTACAAACTAGATCTCTATAGAAGGGTTTTTATACAGCTGTGGATAGCAAAATATAAACTGCATATTACACTGGACATTGATAAATGGGGACCATAGATTTTGCTCTGGTGCCCTTCAGCCTTAAATTCAAAATCTGCTGATTGGAGCCTTCTCATGCCATACAGACAGACCTCTCCAAGGTGGAGAGAAAAGTCTGTGTGTGTGTGTGTGTGTGTGTGTGTGTGTGTGTGTGTGTGTGTGTGTGTGTGTGTGTTTCCACATAGAGTAGAATTCACTGTACTCCATTTTCTTACAAAGCCTTTTTTTCACAAAACTAGCAGCTGTAGATTCAGAGCTGTGGAGTTTACTTCCCTTGGGGTCACGTTTACACTCACACACCCCCCCACACACATTCGACCAGCTGTTTCCCTCAGTATGTGAGTGTATGCTTGGAGTGACAATACAAGTTAATATATTTGTCCTTCTGTTCAAGACTAACAGAAGCACACTGATCCACTCTTAAATCTTTCAATCTTGTCTTATTTAGATATGTATGTTCTTTGACAGGATGGCAAAGCAAAACAATCATTGCCAGTGGCTTCATTCTAATAGACAGGTTTAGTCACTTAACTGCATACCGTGTGAGCAACGCCGGGGGTGTCTTCACTTTCTTGATAAGCTCACCAGTGTCAGACAGATGGTGTTTGGTACCAAATGAGAATAGTACTTTCATGGCTTTACAATTCACACTTTTTCGCGGCACATCCCTACGGCTCAGTCACAGGAAGTGTTTATCCATGCATTTACTTCTACTTCTCCTGGTGGATGAATAACCTGCTTGGTTCGCCTTTTGTTTTTATGACTTGTCACACCTTTTATCACGCATTTTCAATCGTAAAGTCTTTTAAAGTTTTATAAAAGCTAAGAGAAAACTGTATATTTTCCTGCACTTTCATTATATATAAAATAACATCTCTTCTCCTTGATTTGTCTGTTTTTCCAGATCTGCAGAAGGCCGCAACAGAAAACAGAAACAGAAAAGGCTGTGCCTACACTGCCACTGAGATGAGGACAGAGAGCGAGGCTGCTGGACTCAAAGAAGCAGACAGACAAATAAAGTACTGTTCTACCTTTTGTTCCACAGACATTTGGAGTCTCCTCTCTCTTCCTAATGGAAAGATAGTGGTCTAATGTGCAACTGTGGGTCTTTTAGAGATTAATACATTAATAAGCTAGCTACAAATGAATAGCTCTTTTGGAAGGAGCAGCCATAGTGTTCCAGGGCTAATACAGTTAATAAGCCATAGACACGCCACAAAATGTACCACAGAAGAGGCTCTTATAGCTGCAGGCGAGATGGGTGATATGGTTCATTACAGATTCACTGATTTATTCTCCTGTTCATGGCTGTGGTCATGACCAAACCCTGTTTAGTTGGCACAAGCATGTCTCCAGGCAAGAGGAGTGGGATCTGAACCAAGCTCAACAAGTCATGACATCATGCATCATGCAGTATGTGAAAAGACACATTCATAGTTTAGTTTTCACATGGTTGTCGGTAATTATTTACTTCGTTATGTATGTACAAGCATCGGGGTAAGTATGCTCGTGCCCTATGTCCTCGGTAAGACTTCCAGCAGTTCCATCACATCTGAGTGATGATAGAGACAGCGAGTCTGTTCTCTGCAGATTAACGCTGTTCATTAGCTTGGTGATGAAGTCTCTCTTAGCAGAACTGTGGGTGGTCATGCCCCCTTTTAACATGGGCCTTGGGAGCTCTGCCACAGCTACACAGAGGCAAACAAATACACAGACAGATGGAAGGTAAAATATGCCTCCTAGCCCTATAATGCATTACAACCTCACCCAACTTAGATATTTGCAGACATTATCCATAATAGTTTAACCAATATTTGCAAAGTCAAAAGAGAATGAGATATATGTAAAAAACAACAACAAAAAACAACCATAACATTTGGATTTCTTGAGGCCAAGTGATATAATGTTACACAATGTCAGATGGACACTGGACTACTTACTAAATTACTTGAAAATTGCTGATATTTAGAAAAGAAACCTTGATCCCAAACTGGTCACCCTTCAAAGAGTACAGCATGTGACTGAAAACTGGAATTAAAGAATGCCTATTACCATAACCCTTATCCGCCTGAAAGCTGAGGAAATTGGCAAAAAGCTACCCACAACCGAGTTCAAAGCCAGGCTTGGCTGGTGTAAATGAATGATGCGCCAAAAATGGACTGTCCACGCGTCACACGACAAGTATTGCCCAGCTCTTGGCATCAGTCTTCAGAGAAATGGACGATTGTCTAATAATGTTGCCAATGCTGCTATTTGTTTTATAGATAACAATAGGCCAATCACCTTTTTCCATTAGCATTATTTGGTTACTGGGTGACAAATCTTCTTTTGAAAGCTAAAGGGCAGTTGTACAGGCAACATATTTTAAGCACACTCAAAAAGTTCTGTAAATCTCAGACAGTGGTTTTGATTGATTATCCCCTGCTGTTGGGATACTGCTGCTGCTGTCAGAGCCCTAAGAAAGGCTGGCATGTTTATCCACATCACAACAAAGAGCAGGGCAAAAAGCACCTGTCCAGAGCTGTGTGTATGTGTATGTAATGGCTATTGATTGGTGTATTAGCTGTATTGTCATGTGGACAGCTCTCTTGCTACACTTTTCTGAAACTAGAACAATATTTTTACTACTGCAGTAGTAGTAGTAGTAGTTTCACCACTGGCCATTGTCATCCGTAGTATGCTGACTTTGACTGAACCATTTTGCGTTGTGAGTGTTATTTTGCACATATGCCATTGCAGTGGCCAGTACTTCATAATGGGATTCATTTCTGTGTTAAAATATTTGCATTGACTGTATTGCAGCAAGTAGTCAGGTAAAATTGCATCAAGCACTATGTTACATAAATAAAATAAGGATTAGATTACCAAATGAGAAATTGTCGCCATTATTGGAGAAAACTGATGACCTACTTATTGTTTTTGTCTTTGCTGTCCCTTGCAGCAACATGGAACTCACTAGAAAAACAGAAGTGATAGCGTCTTTTCCACAGTCTTGGTTTGTATGCCTCTATACCTGTATATTACGTGAGCTGTTAGAACAGGAGGAGGGTTATAAAGACAATGTATTTGACACATACTGTATTTAGCATGTGAGAGAAATGAATAGTTAACACAGGAGAAGACAGGAAAATTATTATTTTTTATTTAACTGTGTCGTTAAAGTGTGCATGCATGTAGATCAATGTCACAATGGGGCAAAATTCCCAAATGTTTGAAGAGCAAGCAAAAACCAATTGATTGACAATGGTCAAAATTACATTTAACAGAACTAGCAAAAATATATAATGCTGTGACCCAAGTCACTAAAAAGAGATAAAAGGGTTGTTGGTATGTGAAAAGACCATCTTTTATATAGTTTTCAAATACATTTTGGGGCATTTTAGCCTTTATTTTGACAGCAGAGACTGGAGAGGTTACAGGTAATGAAGGGAAAGAGAGGAGGGATGACATGTAACAAAGCTCCTTGACCAAATTCAAAATGGGGATGTTGTCATTACATGGTCATAATCCTAAACATCTAGGCCACCAGGACACCCAAATACCTATTGTATTTAATTGGGTACTCATCATAAGGCACCTGTAAATGTATGTGGTTAGCTTTCTGTGCTTGTGTGCCTTTGCCTTGAACTGAGCCAACATGGTACATGTTACGTATGAAGAGACTGCTGAATCAGCATCTGGCATTTCTGCAGTCTTGTAAAAGATTTTGGCCAAAAAGCCAAATAGGCTCAGATTACTCCAGGGAGGATCTTATCACTGGGCCTGCCTTCATTGTGTCTGCCTGTTTGCTTTGGATGTCTCAGCTTACAGTATGTGCTGATGGCCTATTTACCAGCCACATGAAAAAAAAAAACAACCTTTATACCGAACCTGGGACCTTAATTTTTGCTCCTCCATATTCCTCTCTACTCCCTCCATGCTAGTAAGACAATGCTTCACACAAGACTCCTTTGTTTAACTTTGTAGGTGGAAAAAACCAACATGATAATTAGGGATGATTAACAAAATGCTTCTGCAGGAGATACAGTTATTCTCATCAAAGCCAACACAAGCCCCAACACCTCCTCACTGTGTGTGTGTGTGTGTGTGTGTGTGTGTGTGTGTGTGTGTGTGTGTGTTTGTATGTGGAGGGGGGGTATACTTGTGGGGTCCAACATCTTTCTGGAGACCAAAATGCTGGACCCTACAAGTTTAAAGGGCTTTTTGAATGGCTTCTTGTCTCAAGATCTGAAGAGCCTCCTGTGTCACCACCTTTGCTGTAGTCTCAAGGAGACACAGTTGGCAAGGATAGCGGAATGTGAAAATGTGTTTTAAAGTGAATTTCCCTTTGCCATGTAGGTGAATGAAAGAGTGACTTTGTGGCAATTCTCAGAAAACAATTCAAGGCTCACTGAGCTTGGAAAAAGAGAAAGGACGCCTTTTCAGAGGCAGATCTGTCCTTGGTTATTCAAAGCACAAAATTAGATGATTTAAGGCAGAGCACAATAAAAAATATAACAGTGATATTGTACATCCTCGCAAAGACTTGTGTGAACATCATGTGCTAGGTGTTGTGGTAAAAGGAGTAGGGTCCTTAGTGCGGAAACTTGCACATTATTATTATTATTGCCAACAATATTGTAATTGGTAAAGGGAATAGAGGCAAGGGGTTTTGTGTGTGAATTAGAGTGTGCATCTGGAGGTGGGCATGTAGTACTTACAGGTCTGGCCTTGACTGTCTCCTGAGGCTTGACATCCGTCTTCATCATCACAGTCTGTCGTGCTGCCCTCTGTTTCACCACTGCCCAGCTCATCCCAGGCCTCCATCTGGTCCAGTTTTGGAAACTTCTCATGGGTCTCCTAAACCACAAAGACAGTGATACAAGGTTTATTACACACTGGTTTATGTATAACACTCATTTCACAATGTCATCTTAATGCCTCCTAACACTGTAGGCCAATCCTTATAGGAAGTAACTGACTGAGTGGTGTAATGGAAAACAAACCTGATTCTCACTGGTTCAACACTGGTGTTCAAGAATTCTTTGGTTATCATATACTAAGCTAAGGGTCTACTCCATAGGTATCTTTGTGAAAGACAGAGGCAATTTGAAATGTGTATGTGAAACACTTTAAAAGACATTTGTATTGCACATTATAGATATTGCAACCAGTAAGTTGTAGAGTGTTTCCAAGTGGAATATTGTGTTTTCTTGTGTCCCCTGTGTCTCTTTTCCTGCTCTGAGATATCAGTCCCTGGAAATGTCAGCAAGGGCCCAATAGATGATACATCCTTGGGAAACAAAGGAGCAGTTTGGGTGGTGTAAAGTGAGGGCCCTGGGTGGTAAGATGATGTGTTTACAACAATTATAATTAAAACCACATTTTAAGACAAGCATTGGTTACAAGCATAGAATCCCCAAAACAAAAGGGAGTTTTACAACTATGTTACATTTCCAACTGTTTTAGATGAAGCTCAATTTACTCTTCCATTGGTAAAGTTTACACGGCACCAAAGACATTACCCAATGCTGTAACACTCCTCATTTAGTTGAATGATTTATTCGTATGGCAATTTGACTGTCAAACATGCAACCTGCAAATATCTACTGACATCTGTTTATTTCCCCTCAGTGCAGCATCAGTCAAATGCATACACTATAAGATTACTTCACTGATAAAAAGAATAGATCATCTGTATTTTCACTTCACTCATGCATCTAACTGTGATCAAAAACCTGCACCCATAGGAAGCATACCAGAGTGACCACAGTCCTGCATGAAGACTTTCTCAGCCTGGAGCATGAAATACTACCCTTTATGATGTTCCTCCAGCTCAGCATGGGGCCAACTAATTGGACCACCTGCTGGCCCTTCCTGCTGTCCACTATCATCAAGGTAGTCTTTGTTCCATCACACCATGTCTGACAAGAAGCTCTTCTGACTCAACAACAAATGATCCTTTGGAGTTTGAAGATAAGAAAGTAGCATGAATACCATATTTGTAAAACATATACAGCTATAGAGACACAGTTTATATGTATATATATATATATATATATATATATATATATACATTTCTATATGCATATGCACGCACGTACACACACACACACACACACACACACACACATACACAATTAAACATTCATGAGAAAGCTGACAAGATCAATCCTGCTACACAGCTGACCTTCATATGGGGGAACAACCACTAAAGACATATTGAGAGGTGCGTGGGAGGAATGGGGATGGGGCTTGGGGTCTTGAGGGATGACTAATATTCTTGCCATTGACACCAGACTCTCACACTCAACACACCTGACAGCAAGGGTGACCTTTAACTACTTGTCTCTTAAGTCTTCAGCATCCCAAAAGAAACATTTCATGAAAGCAGCCAGACTTGTATATAAGGCTAACATTGCAAAGCTAAATGTAAATAAATACATTTAGCCATGTTAGCAGCTCTGTGAGCCTGCACTAAAGCGCTTATGTTTATCTGCATCAGCATGCTTACAGTGACAGTGTATTGGACAACTCATGACCACACTAAGTTAAAGATCAAAAATCAGGGTACGACCAAAGTCAAAAAGATCCATCCTTAGTGGGCAAGTTACTCAAAAATTTTAATATATTACTAGTTACTCATTACTCCTTAAAAAGTAATCATATTACTTTACTTATTACTGGGTGCTAAAAGTAACTAGTTGCGTTACTCGTTATGTTACTATATTACTTTCCAGTGCTTCCCACAGAATGGCGCAGGGTGTGGGTCGCTGCTAATCTCGACAACCCAGCTATATTCTAACTTTGGACAGGTTTGTGCAGCACTGTTCATGAGAGAGGGAGCGAGAGTGACAGTAGCTGCCGGAGTTCTATTTCATTCTTCCTGACTGCCAGACGGCAGTGCTTTAGCACTGGATGTCTCCATCCCGCATTTGCGCAGGTCAAGTAATTATACCAACAAAGTCAACTGTGACTATACGATGACGTAGGGCGGATGCCCCAGTATAAAAACCTCACGTCATCACACAATCAGTTCCTTCAGTCTTCTCGCATTGAGGAAACAACACAGGTAAATTCAGCTCGTTGCTTTTAGCTTTTTCTCCCGGGCCTCTGATGTTTTTTCTCAGGGATCTGAGGGGGGACCATTATGTGGGTCGGAGGCCATCCGCCTGCTCACCCAGGTGGATACCCTCTGCCTTCTCAGTCCCTCCTTCTAAGCCCTATATTGAAGAGCTCCAAAGGTACTGGTCAGACCCCTAAGTTACTCTCTCATCACACCAGTGATTGCAGGAACTTGGCTGCCATGCAGGATGCAGATAACTGTGGTTTTGACCATACGGCCGATCATGGGCCTTATTGGTAATTCCTTTTCTCACCTCATTCTGGCTCTTTCTCAGACCCTGCAGGAGTCTGGTTTGGGCTCCTCGGCTCAGACTCTTAGTGATGCATCCCTACAGGCCATTGCATTCATGTCTTGGGAGCTTGGAAGGTTGATGTCAACAGTGACCCTGGCACGCCGCCAGGTTTGGCTGGCGTAGTCCCCTCCGTCAGAGGGGTGTTGTCACACCCTTGTTCCCATCCTGTGGTGCCGGGTCAAATGTTTGGACCAGCGGCTCAGCAGGCACTAGAGCACAGTGTGCAGGCAGATCAAGCCAGGGAGCGGTTTGCTGGCCTGAGGCGGGGCCCAACTTCAGCTCTAGTCCCAGTTTCACTCATCCGCCTGCTCACCCAGGTGGATACCCAAGAGCGTCTTGCTACTCTGGGCACTGTGATCAGCACCGGCATACTCCTGCCGGGCCAATTCCGAAGAAGGATGGCGGGTTTCACCCAATCCTGGACCTGAGGGGGCTGAACAAGTTTTTAAAGGTGCTTCCATTCAGAATGTTACGGATGGCAGATGTCATCCAGTCAGTCACGCGGGGGGGCCTGGTTGTGTCAATAGACCTCAAGGATGCCTATTTTCACGTGCCTATTGCACCACACCACAGGCAGTTCCTGAGGTTTGCCTTTCAAGGACAGGCTTACCAATTCAAGGTGATGCCGTTCGGTCTCTCACTGGCCCCTCATATATTCACGAGGTGCATGGCAGCTGCCCTTTCCCCAATGCAAGCCGCAGGATTGACTATCTTGCCTTACCTGGACGATTGGCTAATCATTTCCCCAACTGCAGAGCAGGTGGTGAGGGACGTAGATACGCTCCTTGGCCATGTGAACTAGCTGGGCCTTACGGTGAACTACACAAAGAGCAATCTTACACCAAGTCAGAGGGTAAATTACCTGGGTATGGCACTCGACTTTCAGTTAATGAGAGCCTCCCTTACCCCAAAGAGGGTACAGGATATCCAGCAGCTCCTAGGTTGCTTTCAGAGGGGCAGGGTTTTGAAATATGGCCTTTTCCCATGATGCACTGAGCTCCTTTCTCCTCTTCTTTCTCTCCCTCTCCATGCAACCTCATCCCAGGCTTAGACCATCAGGTGTCACTGTAGTGCCACCATGGGACTTGAAGGTGGTTTTGAGATCCTTTTGTCTGACCCCATTTGAACTTTGGTTCAGACCTTGGTGCGGACTTTCAGGTGTGAATGCCCCCTAAGTTTCACGTTGCTGTGCTGCGTTTTTGGGAGATGCTTCATTAAATTAAATGTAGAATTGTGCTCTTTGCATCTTAGACTGTGACACAATAATGCCAATACTTACACCTGTGGAAAGAACACCTCTCTCCCTCGTTCTACATTCTTCCTTTAGTTTTTGGCTATCAGTTGACATGAACAGCAAAGTCCAGTGCCACTGAGCTGCCGTACAATCACGCATTCACACCAAGGATGGTGCGTTCAGTAAGGCAGTAACGCAGTATTACTTGGATTAGTTACTGTAATAATATACTGTTGGCAGTAATACTGCTACAGCTCAACTTCTGTCAAAGTCATTACAAGAGCATATTGGTATTCTTTATGTCTTTCTTACCAGAGTAGTGATTGCCGTTTGAGAGTGGAAGAGGAGACTGAAAACAATTCAAACACCAGTACTTTTGATATTGTAACTCAGCTGTCATGTCATGTAAATGCGCTGCCCTCTCACTCATGCCTGAGTGAGTGAAACAAGTGCTACAGTGAAATGAGTCATGTACAACCACAACACAAGGCCGGGCTTCATGAAACTGGAGTGGGCCCTTTAGTAGAAGCAGGTAAAACATATCACTTATGGTCACCACAAAAGTGAAAGCCATTGACAATAGCTCGGTGGCTCAGTTTTCCCAGAAGGACACAAAAGTACAAGCGGATTACTGTGAACAATATTCCACGCTGGTTACAGCATTTTATGGCTATGGATTGGCTCACATTACAACCTGTTCTTTGTGTGTCCTGTACTTGTTCCACCTGTTTCGAGGCTGCAATGTGCTATGCTGAAGAAGGAGAAACTTTGGTTAGGGGACTTATAGGAGACACATTAAAAATCCCATTTCCTATCTATGCTGCACCATGCACTGTACTGTTCTCATCACACCATGATACACAATAATTTATATGCAAAAAATAAGCTACAATTTAAGTAACTAGCCAATGCATCGATGCAAATATTTTAGCAGAAGAAGCAAGAAGAGGGATAATGGAAGACTGACAGCAAAAGAGAGAAAACATCTTCCTTGGTTTTGGACAGCAACCGTGAAACCCATTAACCTTTTTCTATGTAAAGCAGCTAAATAAATTCAGTGCACATTCCATGAGTTTATAAGGAAATACTCTGCTGAACAGCAGAATGTTGTGTACCATTTGGGTATTAAGCTAATAACCGTGCCGTTCAGGGGACGTTTAACACAATGCTGCTTGGCCCAGCTGTCCTTAAAGCATGTTAATTAGGGA